CGTCGACGCCTGTGTGCAAATCAAATCTTCAACCCGACTTCAATGTGCGCGTATGCGAATGTTTTGACACGAGCACTTCCGCCGTGCTTCGAGAACTCGCTAAGAGCAATCGATTCGTCCAAAAATCAGCCGAATCGACTTCGATGTGACCGAGCTAGCGAATTCTCAAGTTTGGCCCCGACGTCCCAGCTCACTGGTTGATTTGCACACAGGTCGACGCGGCCCAGGGCGTCGAGGCGCAGACGCTCAAGGTCGCCGACGCGGCGCGGGCCGCGGGCGTGCCGCTGTTGGCCGCCTGCTCCAAGGTCGACCTGCCCACGGCGAACGCCGTCGACGTCGCGTTGGACGTCGCCGCGCGGGGCTTGGTCGAGGACCCGGAGGCCGTGCTCGCCGTGAGCGCCAAGAGCGGCCTCGGCGTCGCGGACGTGCTCGACGCGGTCTGCGGCGCGTTCCGACCGCCCGCCGACGACGGCGCGCGGCGGCGGCCGCTCCGCGCGCGCGTCCTCGACAGCCGCTACGACCCGCGAAGGGGCGTCGTCTCCGTGCTACGCGTCGTCGACGGCGAGCTCCGCGAGGGCGACCGCGTGCGCTTCAAGAGCGCCGACGGCCGGTCCTACGGCGTCCAGGAGCTCGGGCTGCTGACGCCCGCGCAGCAGCGGACCAAGGGGCTCGTCGCGGGCTGCGTCGGCTACGTCGCGTGCGGCCTCCGCGACGTCCGGGACGCGCGCGTCGGCGACACGCTCGTCGCCGACTCGGAGGCCGGGGCGGACGCGGCGCCCCTGCCGGGCGGCGTCGCGCCGTCGGCGCCGGCGCTCTACGCGAGCGTCTTCCCGCCCGACGGCGCGGCCTTCGACGACATGGCGAAAGCCGTCGAGCGCCTCGCGGTCAACGACGCGTCCGTGTCCATCGCGCGGGAGCCGCCGCGCGCGTCGCTGGGCCTGGGCTTGCGGTTGGGCTTCCTGGGCCTCCTGCACCTCGACGTCTTCCGGCAGCGGCTCCGCGACGAGTTCGCCGAGGACGTGCTCTTCACGGCGCCGCTCGTGCCCTACCGCGTGCGCTGGCGCGACGGCACGACGACGGAGCTCGCGACGCTCGACGACTGGCCGAGCGCCGAGGAGCAGCGCGCGGCCGTCGACGCGATCCTGGAGCCGTCGGTGACCGTCGACGTGGCCGCGCCGCGCGACCACCTCGGCGCCGTGCTCGAGGTGTTGGAGAACGCGCGCGGCGCGCAACGGTCGCTCGACGTCGACGGCGACCGCGCGGCCGTCGCCTACGACGCGCCCTGGGCTTTGGTCGTCGACGGGTTAGCGGAGGAGCTCGCGCACGCGACGCAGGGCTACGCGTCGCTCTCCGTGCGGTCCTCGCCGACCTACGTCGCCGCGGACGTCGTCAAGGTCGACGTCGCGCTCAACGGCGTCGCCGTCGACGCGCTCGCCTTCGCCGCGGCGCGCGGCGAGGCGCAGCGCCGGGGCCGCGCGGCGGCCGCGCGGCTCAAGGCCGTCGTCCCGCGCCAGCTCTTCGAGGTCGTCATCCAGGCCCGCGTCGGGACCAAGTCCCTCGCGCGGGAGCGGCTCCCGCCCCTCCGCAAGGACGTGCTGACGACCAAGGCCGGCAAGAACGTCGGCGGCGGCGACGTCACGCGGAAGAAGAAGCTCCTCGAGAAGCAAAAAAAGGGCAAGGCGAAGCAGAAGACCATCGGCAACGTGAGCCTCGGCCAGGACGCGCTCTGGGCCGTCGTCAGGAGCGGCTAAGTACCGGTTTTCGAATTCCCGTTAGTTCGCCTCGGCCAGGACGCGCCCTGGGCCGTCGTGCGGAGCGGCTAAGTACCGGTTTTCCCATGAGTTCGCCTCGGCCAGGACGCGCGCTGGGCCGTCGTACGGAGCGGCGAAGAGTCCCCTTAGTCCGCCGCGACGCCCGCGCCCCGGCCGTAGTTCTGGAGCTTGAGGCCGACGAGGTACTTCGCGTCGCGGACGGCCGCGCGCGCCGCGCCGAGCCACTGGCGGAGCGGCTCGACGAGCTGGCCCGCGAGCGCCGCGCCTCCGCCGAGCGCCAAAAGCCAGCGGTAGAGCGCGAGGATTTGCCGGCCGTCGACGACGGCCTCGCCGTCCGCGGACGCCCGGGCCGCGACGGCCACGGCCGCGACGATCAGCGGCGCGCCCGCGAAGCCCAGCAAGTCGGCGACCACGGGCCACGCGACGTCGTCGGCGACGGCGGCGCAGTCGACGAACGCGACGTCGCGAGCGACGACCGCGGCCTCGAGCCGCGTCCGCGCGTCGAGCGCCGCGCCCGCCCAGCTCCGCGGCCGCGCGGCGCCGTTCTCGTCGTCGTCGTCGTCGTCGTCGTCGCGGCTCGCGACGCGCGACGCGGCGAGCGCCAACGCGTGGAGAAACAGCAAACCGAAGAGCCAGTCGTCGGCCCAGTCGACGCGCCACCCGGGCGCGCCGTCGGCGACGACCAGCGCGTCGTAGAGCACGCCGACGCCCAGCGGCGCGGCGACGAACCAGAGCGCGGCGCACCGCACTGTGGCCCTTGCTGCCTGCTCGGGCTTCTCCAGCCCGTCGGCGACGCGCAGCCCGCCGTCGAGCGCGGGCCCCGCGAAGAAGAGGCCCGCCGCCCAGCCGCAGGCCAGGGCCAGCGGGTCGTGGCGCAACGCCGGCGGCGCGCGCGCGACGCGGAGCAGCCACCGCCCGAACACCAAGGGCAGCGCCGCGACCGAACCGTAGAAGACGACGACCGCGACCCAGCACAGGAGAAACGCCAAAAACAGCCGCGGCCACGCGGCCGCGTCCAACGCGCGCCGCGGCAGCACCTTGGCCTCGCGCGGCGCCTTGGGCTCGTCGCCCCAGGCCCAGCGGTCCTGAGCCGCTGCCACCGGCGGCGCGCGCCCCGCGTACGTCGGCAGCAAATGCGCCTCGAGCCCGAGCCGCCGGCAGACGCGCTGTAGGAACCAGCCCTGGGCGTCGCCGACGCGCGCCTTGAGCCGCTCCAGGAGCGTCAGCAGCCCCAGGTGGAACAGGAGCAGCTCCAGCGGGATCTGCGCCGCCGGCGCCGCGTAGCGGAGCCGCGGCGCGAACGGCGCCAAATCGAGCGCGCGCAGCGGCGCCGCGAGGAGGCACGCGGGCGCCGCCACCAGCACCCCCAACAGCGCGCCGTAGATGCCCAACGACGTCGCCAGGCGCCGCCCGTGGAGCGCCGCGGACTCGCCGAGCAAGGTCGCGAGCAGGTCGGGCCGCGGCTCGTGGGGCCGCACGAACCTGGCCAGCAGGTCCGGGTGGAGCACCTCCCGCAGCTGGAGCACGGCGACCGTGACCACGAGCATGAAGGTGATGCCCAGCACCCAGCGCGCGAGCGCCGCGCCGACCTCGCCGCCGCCGCAGAGTCGCGCCGCGTCCGCCGCGCCCCAGGACCGTCGCACCACCTCCGCGCCGTCGATGTCGCCGTCGACGACGATCTCGCCGCCGCTCCCGCGCCAGCGGAAGGCGCCGCGCGTCGACTCCCGCGCGGCCCCGAGGAGCGGCGCGGCCGTCGCCGCGTCCAACCCCGCGCCGAGCAACGTCGGGAGCAGCGCCATCTTGAGGAACAGCACGGCCGCGACCTTCGCCGCCGCCGCCGCCGCGTCGAGGGTCCGCTCGGCGCGCCTCAACGCCCGCGGCGGCGCGCGGCGCCGCAGCGCGCGCGGCGCCGCGCGGAGCGCCTCCCGCCAGAGACACGCCGCGAACCCCAGAGCCACATACCCCACGCAGATCTTCCGCAGGTCCTCGAAGCGCAGCGTCGGCGGCGGCGGCGGCGCGTCGTGGTCGCCGAAGAAGGACACGTCCCGCGACCGCGCCGCCGCCGCGGCCGCGTCGGAGAGCGCGGCCGCGAGCGGCGCCGCGACGCGTTC